AAAGTTGTTTTGTAGAACAAACATCCCCAACAATTTATGACCACAATATGATATTTCCTGTAACCACTGAGACGCTTTACCACTTCCTGCATCTGATAAGACTAAATGTGATGTAGCCGTATTTTTGGATTCTGTAACTTTTACATTCTACATAAATTCAAGTATTTATCAGCACCTGACCAAACTATTAGATACAAAATCACCCATGTTACTCACTGATTAGGCTACTTATATTCGTAAAAGTGTCCACCAACCAGCAGTAACCGCTAAGCTAAGTCGATTATATATGTGTGACTTGAGTCGCACAGTTTGATCTTTGTTATCCTTTCAGTCCAATTAACGACTATTAGATACATTCACATCTTTGGAGAGGCACAGAACACAATGGACAGCTTAGATGCACCTAGACGATTTGGACTGCAAAGATCGCCTAGCTCCTCCATCACATACATACGAACAAATGCAGATAAAGACAACTAGTGTAACAGAAGCCTCAGCATCAGTAGACCTCAACAAACACAGGTGAAAAAGCAACATCCTCAAATACAACACACAGAACACCAACACAATCACAATTGAAGGAAAGTTTCATGTACCACCTACTCAGCATAATCGATCAATAAGGAGGATCTGATACAGACGTAAAGGCAAGGATCGGCATAGCAAGAACAACATCCCTACAGTTCAAGAACATTTGCATCTCAAAACAACTCTCAACCAATATCAAACTCACAATCGACAATACGAATGTCAAGACAGTTCTACTGTAAGGAGCTCAAACTTAAGGAACTAACACAACCATCATCAAACATGTACAAGTATTAATAAACAATTGCCGATTCAAGATACTTCATGTTCGTTGGCCAGATACCATCAACAACGGTCTACTGTGGGAGAGAACAAACCAGCTTCCACCTGAAGAGGAAATTAGGAAAGGACTTTGCAGGTGGATAGGACATACATTTCGGAAATCACCTAGCTGCATCATGAGGCAAGCCCTAACTTGGAATCCTGAAGGGAAAAGGAAAATAGTGAGACCAAGAAAAACATAGCGTCGGAATTAGAGACAGATATCGAAAGAATAGATAGAAACTGGGAACTAGAAAGGATTGCCCAGGTTAAAGTTGGTTGGAGATTGGGTGGCCTATTCCTCTCGACGGAGGGTAAAAGGCGTAAGTAAGTAATGTACAAAGGAAACTAAATGAAATGAACAAGCGTTAAAACAGAAACCGAAATGGCTGGGTAGGTTGGAAGCATTTTTCACGATAAACAAGCACACCTAAAGCTAAAATAAATCAGAAGAATATAACAGTTGTTTTACAATAAGTTAAATACCGGATTCAAATCCAGTAGTCAACATTTTTCATTGCAGGTTGCATAATAATGCAGCAAAGAATATTGAGATTTATTCACACACCCCTACTATTATTTAACAGTGCTTTTACCTGCAACGTAAGGAAATAAAATCAAAAACAACTCATTCGAAATACAGATAACTCGATTCAATGTCGGCTCATTAAATTTCAAAAGTTATACTTGATCAATTAAATCCCTCACTATTTTTTATCCCGATCAGCTACACTGATTGTAGTATCTGTCTCTGTGATCTTGATGAAAAATAATGAAAATCCCTGACTTAAGGGTTAAAGATACTATTAAATTATATGCCGGGGTCCCGACCGTTGTTGCTAACTTGACATGGTGGTCGGGTTTGCCTACCGTGATGAACCAATAAAGCTATACTGGCTGGAACATTAGTTACTCAAGGTTTTACTATGACATACAGGTCGGTTGAAGAACAGTAAGGATAAAAGTAACAAACCCAAGGTCCGAATGCGAAGTCGTACTGCTGACTGTACAGAGGTGTGAAGGCAGTAAGGTGTTTCCTTCAGACAACTAGTATAACAGAGATGCTGCCTTCCCACAAAGGGTGAGGTTAGAAAGGGTAGACCCTCAAAATGCACACATCATCTTATCCCACGGATATCTGTCTCCGGTAGTAGTCTCAAAAATCACAATAAGGTCATGTGTGGCTGACCTCGAGCAGTTGTCACTTAGGCACTGCGATCACACTCTCAGGTCACTAAGACCACCACTAGTCCATTTTTCTTTTCAGGTACCTCTAGAAGAACCCTTCCACGGTCTGGACAACCGGGAAGTGTCAACCGCCCTCACACCTCTAACAGCACTCAAGACCACTGTATTCATAATCAATTTCCCCCTTCAATTCCTATTATTCCTCCTTTGTTGACTTTCAACTCTAAACTTCCTCTTTTGACTTCCTCCTCAAGTAACACCATGGCCAACGATTGTAGTGCGCAAAACACTGTCCCAGGTCTACTGAACTTCTTCAAAAAGCTAAACGTTCAGACATAGTACCCGTAGCAGGTGACTTTGATGCCCAGATAGGTAGTTTAAACCAAACAGAAAAGCATTTAGATGGGTATTTTGGAATCCAGGCTCAGCGAACAGATAATGGTGATTGTCTGCTGCAACTGTGCTCAGACAATCGTTTATTTTTAGCAAACACAAATTTTAAGCATAAGAAGAGACATCGTCTAACATGGCGACCCCCTACACCAAACCAACGATGGACTCAAATAGACCATATTACCATCAGTCATCGTTGGAGAGGGTCGATAGAAGATTGTCGCTCATTCTGGAATACCTACTTCGACTCCGACCATGCTCTAATACAGGCACGCATCTGCTTGTGCCTCACTGGACGCCATAGTAAAAAGACCCATTAGAACTGAATTGAGTAGCGAGAAAACCAAAAGTAGGTTCCAGGAACAACTGAGGTCTCACTTAGGTAGTTGTGAAGACGAGGCTGACCCAGATGGTGCTTGGAAAGATATACAAACAGCTGTGGAAACAGCAGTGACATCTATTAATGATTTAAACCACAGGGATATAAAGAACCAAAGGATTTCTTCAAGGTCTATCGCACTGATGGATTCTCGTAAACTCATCCTATCAGGCTCTGAACACGATGAAGAGCGAAAATAAATCAGATTCCGGTTAACCAAAAGTCTAAGGGACGACCGTGAGCAGTGGTGGTCAACGAAAGTAAAAGAGATGGAGAATGCGGCGGCTATAGGTAACACAAGACAGCTCTTCAGACTAATAAAAGAAACTGGAATTAATAAGTCAAGTGCAAGTGAGGTGATCTCGAAAAAAGACGACACTTATCTGCTTTCAGCCCAGACGTTCAGAATGATGGGCGGAACACTCTAAGGAGCACTTCAGCTGACCTTCAGCTACACTACTACTATCTACCATTCCCAGACAGTCTGAATGGAACACTGAAGTGGGTCCTCCGACTAACTGAAGTTCAAAAGGCTATAGTTAATCTGAAACGAGGAAGAACAGCTGACTCAGATGGATTGATTGCAGAGGTCTTTAGGGATGGTGATCAAATTTTGGTGGTCAGGTTGACTAATATTTTAGCTAAAATCTGGGAGTTGGATGCAATCCCATCTGACTGGTCACAACCACTGATTGTCTCAATATACAAGAAATGAATTCCAATGGTCAAATAAGATCACAGGTTAGACAGACATCATCCTCCATTGCGAAACATTTGGTTGATATCAAATCAGCATTTGTTGTGTTGTACAAAAGCCTTCAAGGACGTATACTAAGGTTTATTGAAGCCTTGGCTATATGGAAATTGAAACCCCCTTTGTGTGTTCAAAAACAATTTGTCCTTACACTTAACCTACCCTGGTAATACTATTTATTAACCAGAGTGTTAATCACATTTGTTTTTTATGTACTTTAATATTTTTCCTTTGTTATGACTTACCCTTAACCTGTCTAGTTGACCTCTTAATTTTCATATATAAATGTTCTTAACAAGTATACGTGTGATCAGATTGTTCGAAATGTATTGCGCAGACATATCACATAATTCTGATAAACTACGTCTTCTCATTGCATTATCGAAATTTATCAAAGGGACTAATTGTTTTAAATACAAGAAATGGTCAAAACCATCCTGCGACAAATCGTTGCTTCAGGACTGGCTTGCGTCAATACTTGAACTAAGAATAGGGAGTGAAGTAGTCGAATGCGTTGAAAACTTCACCTATCTTGGAAGTCTGATAAGCCCTAATGGGTTGGTGTCAGAAGAAATCTCAGCACAGATTCGAAAAGTTCGTTTGGCTTTTGCCAACTTAAGTCACCAACTATGGCGAAGGCGAGGTATCCATCTATCAATTAAAGGACGAGTATACTGCACAGCAGTTCGTCCTGTTTTACTTGAAGGCTGTCAAACGTAGTCAGTGAGGGTAGAAGATACTCGTAAGTTACTAGTATTTGACCACAGATGTCTTAAAAATATTGCTCGCATCTGCTGGGATAACCGGGTAAGTAATAGTGATGTTAGATGTAGGGTATTTGGAAATGATGGTAAATCAGGTGGTGAAGTTGTGAATCTTCATCGACTGAAGTGGCTCCACGCCACGTACAAATCTGTAAACGAATTTAAGGAATAGTATGCTTATCATTATTGGACTGAATGCTATCCATTCAAATGTATGCTAACAATCAGTGTAATCGACACTCATTCACAAACCAACGATTTATATAACTGTAAGTAGATATGGCACAAATCACTTGCTTGAATGAAGCATATTAATCAAGAGTTCTACTGAAATTCCGACTTTTAGATGATCGACATTTGTTGCTCAGGTGCATGATTCTGATAGAGTTTTATTCTCTAAGCTGGATGGTTTGGTCGTGGAGCATCATCAGCACAAACTTCATGTAGTAGTGCTGAGGATATCGTTCAGAAGAACGATGAAAGCTTCACGACCAAACCATCCAGCTCAGAGAACAAAACTCCATCGAAATTCCGATTTCACAGTAAAGTTGTAGCATTTGAGCTTAATAAAAAGTTCCACAAAATGAAACCTGGAAATAAACATTTCTAGGAAATTTAAATTACTAAGTATTATTAGTACACAAAAAAAACAAAATACAGACGATCAACGTACTTGACTAACTTCTTTGCATTGTAACGCCAAGGTGTACAAGGTTCTAGAAGGTGAACAGAGTAGTTTCGTTTCACACCCTTGCATATTCAGTAAACAGCAAAAAATAAGAATCAATTAACCATTCTATACGTCAAGAGTATGTACATATGCAAATTTCCCTGTGTTAGAGATTCGTTAGATAGATACATCTTACATCCAAATGATGATCCCACTAAAATTCAAATAAGCTACCTACCATTTAAAAACCCAGTACTATCTACTGGGTGCGTTTTGTTATATTAATCATCCTTTATTAGATTGTCAAACCAAGTAGTATTTTGATAGATGATCAATTCTGTAGAAATGACCTGATCAACGCCAAATGTATCATGGGATACTTACAAAACTCCTTAAATGTGACCTTTGGTTAGCCACTACGGTATAGTACTAGGGAATATCAAACTTATTCCCTACTCTATAGAGAACTTATAAGCTTGGAGGATTCCAATCCCTATCACTGGTGTGAATCTGTGAAGTATGAAAAGTACATGACCAGAGGTACTCGCAACAAACATAATTAATTCAAGGACTTTAAAAACCATTTTCAGAATCCAAATCTCTGAGTAATTGTCATAAGGTAAATAATGTCATAACTTGCAATACCCACGCATATCACTAAATGACTATTTAAGAAAATGGTATTTACCAAGTCACTGTATAAAACTGAAGTGGACATTCAACGAGAGAAGTCACACTCCGGAAAGTAAATAAAAAAGTGTCTTGCAGCAATGAAATTTATCAAACACATTGAAAGTACTAAATAACTGAACATTGGAAGTCGGTATGGCATATGTGTAACGATCTCAGACGATAAAATGACTTCCTAGATTTCTTAAGAGAATCTAAAGGTACGCAGTAACCGTTGGATGAATCGGTGCCGAAAACAGAAACGAGGCCGAGTAGTATAACTCATAGATGCCTATAAAAACAATAAATTAATCTCACGTCTACAGTTTTCTTAATCCAGAAAGCTAGTGATAGACTCAATTATCCAACAGAATATAAGTTTTATTGGCATAGAAACTGACCAAAAACAACTCCCACCCAAACAAATGATAAGACAGTAAGTAATTAATAAATCTTGTTACAATAAGATAGTAATATCTGATTGACCGTTATCGGTCACAAATCTGAATAAAAACACTGGTATCACTTTCTTTAACAGTTGAATACACGAAGCAATCTAAGCTAGACCACCATTGAAAACCCGGAAGTAATGGATGGCTTAGATTGACTAGTAAATTCAACTGTCAAAATACTACAATCTCCACAAATCCTCATACTGATAATGAGATTACTACCTGAAGTATTGTTTAGTCATAAATCTCTACAAGTTAAAGGAAAAGACTATTATCTCATACATATCAAAAAGACCATAGTTCACTTCTAAACTATTAAGAGGAAGAGCTATTGTAGTCATCAGAGCTTTATCTAGTTAAATTCAATAAATCGATATTTGTCGCCTTGAACCATGTGAAAGTATTGAAATTTCATTGGTCAGTTTAGTTAAAGCGAAGCTTATTGGTTGAACAGGCTAAAGTCTGTTATTGCTACTATTCTTCCAGTTAAACCAAGGACTGACTAGGTTCAGTAATTCATATGAATACAGTACACCAGAAAGTGTAAAGGAACATACATGCTCAGTGTGTCTGAAATAATTTTTTTTCTCAGGTCTATCGGTTGGTAAAATGTACAATGAAGGTCAATAAAAAGAAAAGAATAAAATTGAACTAAAATTCAATATAAATTGGATAATGAAGATATATATAGCAGTGCAAACGAAAGATAACATCAATTTTTCATCAGTAGTGGAAAAAATTAAATAGATATCTGTCGAAAAGCAGTACAAAAGTAAATATTCAAAATCAATGACTAAGGCTAAACAACAGATTACAAATTATATTTAATCGTATCAAAACCCCGTTTAAAAGCAAATAGGATAACAATATATACATAAACGGTTTTCCAAATACTGTAGCAATGTTATGTTCAACCTCAAGAAGATAGTTATTTCAGTAATGTTTATCAGATACACCTCTCGTTAACAAGGATGTTCCATAGATTGTTGTTCGACGATACGTAAACAGAAAACTGAATACTATGGTGTAGTTAAAAATAATAAAATAATATCTCTTCATAAAGAGCTCAATATATAAACCGAGAAACGTCTCGAGTCTCACAGTCAGTTATGATACATGTAAAGCTCTGTACAGATGTGCGTTGACGCAGTCTACCAACTGATAAATCTTGTTACCGACACATTAAAACTTTCTAGGTGGTTCCGATATCCCTAACTACTTTTATACGTCACCTAGGACATTAGAGATGAGGCGCGAATTGCGAGTAAAAGCTTTACTCCAAGGTCAGTTTATGTAAAGAACGACGAGGGTATTTCAAAGATTACACATGACCTCAAGCTTCCGGGAATTTCTAGGACCATATTAAATATAGTGGCAGTACAAGTAAATAACCATTCAAAACCATGGCACGTGATTCTGCATTTCTTAGATGTTTCTTGAATGACTAGATTTAACGCTGATTGAACTAAACGTCTCCTGGCGTTTCTGTGCCTCTAGGGTCTATTGCGGGGGATATTTCCAGGACTCCTCCAACACAAACCACATAAGCGAGTGAAAAGCGAGGAACAAATAGTCCTGATAAACACAAGAACTGATTATTGAAACGATAGTCTAGTTGATAACCAACAATTTCTGGATTACAGTTGGTAACTGCAGCAAGACAAACACAAACTATGTTGGTTCAAGCAGCTATACGCTTCAACCACCTCTCTTCTCAGATGGTTACAAACCAGAAATGATGTTAAATAGGATTGTTCAATCTAATTATTTCAACTAAATGATGTTTTAGGGGCAACTCAGAAGAAAGTGTATGTTGATCGTGTAGAGAATCTGTAAGATGTAGTTTTATTATGTGAGGGAATCCAGATTACCTATTTTACTTTTAAGTAATGCTCACAAATATATGGACTTCGTATCGCCGAAGTTAAGCGTAGTTTTACGAGAGCGGTGGGAGCGTACATCCGTTCTTTAAAATAGACTGTTAGAAATCGTGTAGCAGTTTGTGCTACTGATTGGCTATGTAACCGTTGATGATATTGTGACAAAAGTGATCGCTCTAGGTATCTAGGAATTCAGAACAGAATGCACCAACTAACCTTACCTTGGTGTAAGCATGAAGCTAGTTATCTCGTAAAGTGTCTGGTTGACAACACATCATTATGCTGAGTTCCGCTTCACGTATATGATACCTGAACAAAGCCACAGTAGAGTATATTCAGGATTAATCTATGTAGTTATAAATACCTAATATTGAAACTGAAACGATAAAGATGTCTTATATGATATTATGTTGTTCAATTGAATACTATACAAGATAAAAACTAAAGGAAACTGAATGTTGACATTTAGGTGTTACGTTGTATCTTTACTTACAGATAATTAAGTCTTGAAAGAAGTTTCGCCTTTTTTCCTCGCTTACAAATTGCTTTTGTCACATAAGAGACTAATCTATTCCCAGAGATTAAAAATATGATACAATCATTCTGTTTAGATGTTAACATCAATGATATCGATGACATACAAGGTAGTAAGCTAAGAGAGAAAATACTCAATCAGACGATACTATAGGTCAACATCGTGATATTAATTTAAAAGATATTGGGAACTTTCTTACTCCTCAAAACTCCAATCTACTGACGAAAGGAACTAGATAGTTCAAGGCTTTACTAAAGGGCATAAAAATACTGAATACTGCCTAAATATAACCATTGGAATATGCACCATGCAAAATTATGCACATTACTCACAACTGAATATATCCTCAAGGACTGTTTATCGCCTATACAAAGATGGTCAATGAACTAAATGGCATGCTAAATTAGTCCACTTTTCATGTTATTTTTAGAATAACAGAGGTAATCAACAATTCCTACTGCCTGAAATACATATACAACTTTGCAGAAAATGAAACCCAATTTATTGTAGGATACATAGTTATCAGTTTAAAGCTATTTTAATATATTTACAAAACCAAAAATTAGGCTCTATCGTATGTCAAGATACCGCCTTATTATACAATCAATTTTTGATAATCACATCTGACAATAGTAATGAAACAAATGAAACTACATTTTGATCACAAATCATCCGAGTTTTTCACGAGTGCAACACATGATACTTTGATTCATTCAGTTTTCTGAACTCAACTTTCTTAGAACAACCGTAGACCTTGTATTTACGAAGAGATGTTTTACAGATAGAAATTGTCTAAACAGAATTGATTCAAAAATAGTTTCCACCATGAACAGACACCAACAAATGAGACATTGAGAAACATACATGGTGTGAAGACCTTCTGCTCTTATGGTTAAAACACCTTCAAACTGTGAAATCAGGTAGTATCACCAGGCTTCACAGTCAGTCAGCTACAATGTAGGACTAGGCACATATATGAACATGAACAATGTGATTCAAAGTCAGGAACATAGGATCTTTATTAAGTTAATGAATCACATTATTTTATCTTCATTATTTCGTTCTTATCAAAGACATTTCTCCAGTATGCACCGATGACAATACATAGAACCGGATTCAAATGCAGTCACATCTTCAAATAAGCACGACAATAATCAGACACTATGGAGTCCATAGGTTTAAATTCTACAAACCCAGTCGCTTCGTGATAATAATTATCTGATCCCATCAGTGAAAATCTGTCTCACTTTAAACTCGATTGCTTCTAAAGACCTCAACTTTCAGCTTAATTTTCAGGATCTTCATAATGAAGAGGTCAAAGGAGAGTACTGGATTTCTAATTAGTTTGTACAGGTTTTTTTTCAGATTTAGAGATAACTCTCAACATCGTTTCTAACGCCTCTACAGATGATGCCAGCTTACGATGAAGATTATCTTTAGTTTGAACGGAATATTCAATGAAAAAAGCTTGCGTACCATGTAAGCGGCATTTTCAGTATCATGAATATGTACAGGACGGTCGTTTTTGTTACGAAAACGTTGCATATGTGCTTCTACCCAGATCTCCTTATCTATTTTAACCAAAAAGCAATCAGCCGATCCCCGTGAAACGATGTTTTAGATGATTTTATAGACAAAAAGCCAGCAGACCGAAAAAATTCGCCTCTACATTTATTGCCAACATTTTATAAATCGCATCAGGAAACCAATAATTATTTCCTTAAATAGCCTATCTTTATATTATAATCTGAAGTTTTACGTTTATAATATTTACAATATTCCATAAGTTTGAGCTAAAAATTTAGTCAAAGAACTAGATACATTAATTAAGTTCCACAAATTCTACAAAATGATGTAATTCGATCATCGATATTCTCAATAGAATCTTATTTTATGAGGTGGAGAACACTTAATGATATTGTCAAAATTGATTCAGTATTACTAACATAATTCTATGTCGTTTTGTTTTCTATTTACTGAAAAAGCTTATTTTAGTAACTAACATGACGGATTTAATAAAGTATACAAGTGAAAACATCCATTGATGGACATTAGGGAGTGTAGTTATCCGACATGTAGCCAAAGTATGCACATCCACTCATTAAGATCTACTCATATTAGAGTACGGACAGACGGTCAATTCAATACACGCGTACAACTCAATGATTGTGATCTATCTAATTTAATAAATAGTTGGAGAAGGATTGACATATTATAAACTGCTACTAACACAATTTAAGCCATTCTCAAATAGTACAGAAAAACTAGAAGAGACTTCAATCTAAATCGATTAGAGCACAATCAATCAAAACGAACCAATCAGTGATTAGTTTTGAAATCAACCAATCACAATATAGACTGCCAATTTTTTTTTTGGAAAATGAAATTCAGACCAGGCATATGATTAGACTGATATGAACCTTTTAGTAATGATAATTACTCATTACTCAGAATTAATGCGTACTAACAGAAAATACTCTGCGAACACAGTCAGCCAAGCATACACATATGAATGTTATGTCAGAATATTTTCTACTAGTAATTAATAAAATGTTTATGATTATGAAAAGATTTCGTTGAAACTACGTTTCTTGGTTAGTTTTATTAAAATCTATTCACTGAAAGAAAAAACAGAAGATACAATTTATAATAGAGAATAATCAAGTCTTTTGAAACGTCCAATTCTTACGTACTGTTTTCTCAAATTCTAAAGAATACAGAGCTAGAAATATTGATGTCGCTTTGTAACAATGTCTAAAATTGCTAGTATAAGTCTTAAAGTAAATGTAGGCTCAGATAACAATAAAAAATTCAACAATTTCATGAATGCAGAAGTCGTCAAATTATTAGGATGATAACATATTTAATAATTCTTATGGCTAGATTACTTACTTCGCGAATGAACGGATCCATTTCTAGTCGTGTAAGATTGCAGTTATCCACGATGAT